TTGACCACGGGAGGAAAGATGTTGTCCACAAGGCAGATGAGGGTGTTGGGCTGACCCAGCGCCACGGGAGACTTGGAAAACACTGTGACCTCAGGAACCTCTGTGGTGAGAAAACAGCATTGATGTGAAGTGTGAATAGCTCTGCCCTGAGGTTCTTCATTATGTCCTGGAAGAGCCCTCCTACCAGCGTTTCCTCTGCTGCTGGTCAAAGAGGTCTTATTTAACTTCCGCTTGGGAGCAATGACACATTGCCTCTGCCTTATTCTTGTTCCCTTCTCTCTGTGGGCATGTTCAATAAAGTAGGAGATTGATGAGAGCTCTTCTAGAAGGATTTAATGAATGCGTAATGGAAAGACCCTTGTATTACACGGGAATATGTGATTTTAGAGAAGGGCGATGATAAAATTTCAGCAATTGTCATGAGAAGATCTGGGAACCTCTTGGAAAGAAAATGATGAAACTTGTGAAGGGCTAGTTTCAGTAAAGAAAGGCAGAATGGTGGCACATACCATTGGAAGCAGCGGTAGAGTTGGACTGTTTAATCAGGATGTCCAAGTTGTATTTTGCCGTAGCGATGTTTGTCAGTGCGCCCTGTGGGTCAAAACTTATAAATTTGCTGAACATAGGCAACTGCCAGATAGTCTCCTTTCTTCCCAGGTCCACGTAGAACTGCTCATCTCCATCGAATTCATGGGTGTACTGGCCAGAGGGACCGTAAGACTGGTACAAGTTTATACCGTAAGCGGCAACGTGGTCAGCTGGTGAGTGAAGGTGCCAAGCAGGAAGGTGGAGAAGAGGGGAATAAAGAACCTTAATACAAAAATGATGGAAGAAGCCGACTTTCAAATATTATGGGCTTCATCTTTGTCACAGCCCGTGGACATTCCCAGCCCTGCTTCCTCCCCTCTTTGTGTTGGTAGTTGTCTGGTTAAAATTGCACTTTTTTCCCACTATAATGTGTGCTACAAAAGGGCAAAATATCACATGTCCAATTTTTACTATTTCCTGAGTGCCTGCCACATCATGTACTTGTGACTAAATAATGTAATTGAACAAAAGAAGGACTGAATGAGTTATTGTAGCATTTAGCTTTCTTAGTTAGATATTTGGTTAATTCCCTCTGCTTCCTAAGATTTATCTTTCACTTAATTTTTTCATCAGTTAATAACAAATTGATTATACCTCCGTGCCTCTCAGGATTGGCTCAGAACAGGACACTCTATTTTCTTTTTGTTTTTTTAATAAAGAAAAAGCATGCAGGATCTTATTAATTAAAACAATTTCTGCTAAGAATTGTAGAGTATCAGAAAGAGTATAACAAGAACAGTAATAACATTACAAAAAATATAATAAGTAAACAATGCCTCCTTGTAAGATCTCTGTTTTGTTAATAGTAATGGTCCTTGGAGGAGAGCAACTGATTTCTTCTGAAATGAAAATTGGAAGCTCTACTAGTTTTTGAATTTCTGTCATTCCCTCCACTTTTTTTTTTTCCTTTGAAGGAGGTTACTGAATGTCTACAGAGTTCTTACGTGACACTTATATTTACTTGGGGACTCAGGTAAATTAAGCCCTTTTTCCTCTAATGCTCAGTGTGCTCGTCTGAGGATGCCTGAGCAGAATGGCAGCCATGCAGCACAACTCCAGCCAAATGAGCCGAAGTGGACATTCTTGTCAAGATGCGTAAGCTTTCCATTGTATCTTTCCTTCCTTCCCCACCTTCTGAGCCTCTGAAAGTGTCAGACAAGCAGGGGATGTGTAAAACACCAGTCAGGCATTGTCTACCATCAAGAAACAAACTGAATAGTGGGAGAGTCAGGTAGGTAAGGGAGCAAATACAATGTACTGTGGTGAGTTCTGTGAGGAGGATATGAACAGCCTTACAGTCCAACATCCTTCACAAATCTCTGCCAAGCAAACCAAACTACATTGTTTTTTCATGTTCCCTGGTCTTTGCAATGGTCTGTTATTTTTCTCCCCGAAGTGAAATTATCTATTAGGACTTCCTGGAGAAATCCTAAAATTCATCCTTGAGGTCTCTGCTTAGTTAACAACTTTGTAGCTAAGTCCGCTCATCAACATGTTTTTGACCGCGTTATGACCTCCAATCTCTCCATCTCAGCATCTGGTTCTTTAAGTTTATCTGTTCCTCTTCCAGCTCACCTTCTTCCCTAACCAGCATGACTGCCCTGGTTGGTCTTAACAGGCTAGCAAGAAAGCCTCCTTATCCTTGCAATAAACCTTGACTCCTTGTTCAAACATGAATATATGTGGAATTCATGCAGTCCTTCTTTTCATCTGGTACTTGTCTTGGATGCCGAGTTTTGCTGGAGGACATCACCCTGCTGGCCCAGCGGGAACCAAGTCACTTATACAGTTTCCACCTCTGCTGGGGCCACTGCCCTCTCAGCAATGGCCTTCTGCTTTCCTGCACCCCACACTGTTTCCATCACTAGTCTTAGCACCGTCCGCAGGGAAGATAGCATGACTTTACATCTTTGAATCCTTAAAACTTAGTTCACTGTGTGCTCAAACATGTGTATGAAATGACAGTTGCTATATTAGAGGGCCGCATAGATTTTGGGGAAGACTGACAAGCACACAGGTAGCAGAACCATACGAAGGCCAGGATCAGCCATGACCAGGGCTGCGTTCTGAATTGTGAGCCCCGAGCACTCTTGCTTTTGTGGGCCCCTTCCTCCATAAAAATATGGAAAATTATATTTTATGACTGAATTAGTATAAAGACAATATAATTCAGACTGAATTAGAAGTTAAAACATGTTCTTAGACTCTGAAATTTCTTTTTTTTTCTAACGTTAAAAGGAGTACAACATTCTCTTGTAGCTTTACAGGATGGAGAGTTCCCTGCACTGCCCACGCTGTGGCTAATGGATGAGCTGAGCCTCACCAGGGCACTCTGGTGTGAGGTTGAAGAAAGGAAGTTTGGAACAAAGAAGCCAAGTGCTCTGGAGAAGCAGGTAATCAGTGGAGCAGCCACAGTAAATAAGGTTGTGGAAGCTTAGAGTAGCTTCCTGTTCAATTCCCCTTTTAACTATTTGACGTTTCAACTTTTGTTTTACAAACCCACTGTCCATGATTATAAAGGAGCAGGGAGTCAGAGATGGATCCTGAAAGGGCAAAGGGAGAAAGGAATGCATGAAGAGAGGTGGAAAGAGATGGATGACAAAAGACCAAATAATTAATCTGTGCTTCCTTCCTTCCCCTCCCTCCCTCCCTGTCCTTCCCTCCCTCTCTCTCTCCTTCCTTCCTTCCTTCCTCTCTTTCTCTGTTTCTTTTTTTCTTTCCTTCCTTCCTTCTTTCTTTCTTTCTCTCTCCTTCCTTCCTTCCTTCCTTCCTTCCTTCCTTCCTTCCTCCCTTCCTCCCTTCCTCCCTTCCTCCCTTCCTCCCTTCCTCCCTTTCTCCCTTTCTTTCTTTCCTTTCTCTCTTTCTTTCCTCTTTCTGAGACAGGTGTCACCCAGGCTGGAGTGCAGTGGTGCCATAATGGCTCACTGCAGCCTCCACCTCCTAAACTCAAGCAGTCCTTCCACTGCAGCCTTCTGAGTAGCTGGGACCACAGGTATGCAGCACTATGCCTGGCTTATTTTTATTTTTATTTTTGTTTGTAGAGATGAAGTCTTGCTATGTTGCCCAGGCTGGTCCCAAACACCTGGGCTCCAATGATCCTCCTGCCCCAGCCTCCCAAAGTGCTGGGATTACAGGCATGAGCCACCATGAAGGGCCCACTTTTCTTTTTATAGGACTTTATTAGATGAGTGAAGAACAGGTAATTTGGGTTGACAATTTAAGAACTTCATGATCTAATTTACCAAGTTTTTCTATCATAAATTCTCAATTTTAAAATAAAAGATTCCTTATTTTGCTAAAGAAAAGATATGTGAAGCTATACCAACTAGAAATATGTAAAAAAATTGACATTCATGTTTTCACAATTTACAAAGCTTATCTACATGCCCATTTTATTTGATTATTTGTGAGGTGACACGCATGAGGCAGCTGAGAGTAAGTGAGGACCATGTGGTGAGATGATTGCTGAAGGCATCCAGCCTGCTGGACTCCTCTACCCACTCCCCACCTGTGCCAGTTCCTATGTGGAAATGTGAGCAAGTCTGAGAGAAAGAAAAGGGCATCCTTCTTAATATCTATAGAGTATGTTATTAATGGAACTATTTACCCCAAGTTCTACTACAGGAGACATATGAAAAGCTTCAAAAGCTGTTCAGAGAAATTTGAGAGTGACATTTTACAAATTTTTGGTAATAAAAAATTCTCCACAATGGAAACCTCACTAATCTTTGAGGCAATCATGATGGAATGACATAGAGACCCCCAGGCTGTAGTTACTGAATATGATATAAACAGAATAGCATCCTTAGTGAGAATGCCAACAGCATAGATAACAAATAGAGTAGGCTGGGGCTCTGGTTTCCTGAAGGAAAAACAGCCATAATTTTTAAATCTCTTAATACTGAAGGGGCCCTTGGGAAATTTCTACAATTTCCCTGCAAACTGTTTTCTCTCCATTTCTTCAATTTCCTGTTTTTCAGCTCCAGAAAATATCCGTCACCCATGCACTCACCCACAATGTCTTCACCTCCACAGGGGCTCATCGCAGTGGTCAGGACGAGGGCCCCCAGCATCAGAGCTTTGTTTAGGATCATCCTCTCCCCAAGGCAGCCTCAGCAGTTGCTGTTCTGAGTTGTAGAGTAACTGTGAGGACCTACAGACAAGGAAATCTGAAGACACCCAAACCAAACCCTGCCAGATCAGCTTTCGGCCAATTAGAAAAATCCCCAGTGGTGACACCTCAGTTACTAGTTGAAGAGTTTGTATTAACAGCCCTG